CTCACATAGCCACACACACACATTGTCTCCCTAGCGCACGCACACACACACACACACACACACAAAGACAATCAGAACAGGAAACATGGAGGTCAAAGAACGGCTCACCAGTTTTTAAGTGCACCCATTTATTTTTCATGAAATGACGTGAGGGGACTTGATAGGCGAGAGCACGATGATGAAGTCCCTTCCAATTTCATTGGCACCTGCTCCTTCATGCTGCAGGACAGGAAATAAAGACGGGCAGCTCTGACCAGAAAAAATCTTTTAAAATGTTTCAGTCAGGTGAAACTCAGGTCAAGTACTGTGACGCTTCAAAAGAACTTCATTAATCAGTGCTAAAAGACAAATTAGAGTTTATCACAGATGTAAGTGAGTTAGCCTTGTGCTCTAACATACATACAACAAACAATACTTTATTTTGTTTATTCTATTTCCAAGCATAATACTGTAATATAAAACGAATTCATTTAAATTAAATCAAATAAAAAAACAAGTTATTTCCACAGTTCCTAACCCTTGAAAGTTATTTCCTGTTTTGGGTGTCCACACTGCAGGATCCAGAGAAGAAGAAACCCTGAAGAGGAACCTTTTAAGTGTATGGTGTAGACATAATCGGAGCATGACCAACTACCACATTCAAAAATATATTTAAAAATTCAAAAACACTGTGTAAAGCCTCAGTCACCAAGCCAGAGATCAATCAACAACCCTGCGGCAACTTCCGGTCACTAGGAAAAAATCGGTATCCCTGATTGGTTGATGAAGTAGAAGCTGGTGAAATAGTTCGCAAAGATGATGCTGAAACCTGAAAAAAAAAAGTGACACAAAGCCAAATGTTTACCTGTAACATAAAAGTGGTGCCTCACTGGCTCAACCAATATTTCAAAAAAGCACAAGTTTTACTTCGAATGGGTGAACATTTGTGCCACACTTGCCAGTTTCACTACCACTCAGAAAGCTACTGACAAATCAGACGAGTGACGTCTTCCATGTAAACTAGTGGCGACCATGGCAAATGAGCAGAGAATGTTGGAGCAGCACCGTCTTCCTCTTTGGAACAATTTCACTGCCAGCAAACAGCAATCACTCGCCAACCAGCTGGGGTGTACAAATTTTTCCCTAGCAACCAGAGGTTGCCAGAGAGTCACTGACCAGCGTGACTGGGGCTTTAGCAATTGATTTCACAGACAAGCCGGTTGGGGATTTTACTTTTTCCCCCCTAGCAACCAAGGTTGTCAGGGGTCGCTTGGCCTGTGTTCAGCACATATGCAATGAGGGGAAATATAGCGAGATGGTCACCCATCGAAGTGATATTTTCACTGACATTTCCTCTCTACTTGCATCCCTGAGCATCCACACACAGTCAAGCATCACAGAGAGAAAATGAAGAAACAGAATGGCAAACAATGAAGACCACAATTGGAGAAGTGCACCAACACAGCTCTGCTATTAAATATTAGTGTAATGGTATACACATTTAATATTCAACTTTCCTGGTGGAAACTTTGCTTTTCCAATACCACAGTCATCATGAAACGCATGAGACATGCAAACACACAGGTCTGACCACAAGATCCTAAATCCTACGTTTCCACTTGTTGTTATATCAACTGTCAGTTACTATTATGTCACATTAGCATTGCTACTGGCAGTGAAAATGGAAACAAGTAAAAATATGTGAATGTGCTCAGGGGAGCTGGAAGTGTGTAGGGAAATTTCTCTGAACACATTCAAGGGTTATACATTAGATAAAGGTTATCTTGGGGTTGGAAGCATCTTATTTAATGGACCTCGCACAAAAACAACCTTTTAAACAGTTATAAATCCACACACAATGCACTGTGATTTAACCAGTACTGACTCAGTCAAACCACAGAGGTGGAGGTTGAATGAATTAAATTGTAATCTGGTGTGATCTAATAAACTGGGACCACGTGCTTCCAGGTTGAGCTGTTATTTAACTTTCGCCCCTCCCTGTTTGCTTAAGATTTCCAGTAAACGTTTCCAGGAGTAAGTAAACCGCCGTGATTTTTTTTTTTACATGAGTGGCAACAGTTCTTGAATTTGCTGCTTCCTACATGCACTCTACTCAAGGGGCACACTCGTGCATTGGTCCCACACACTTCTTTGCAGAACATCATTTATATGTTGTTTACCGTCACAAGGGGACAAGGTCAGAAAATACTGGTCTGTGGGTTATTCTTGTTCATATTTGTGCTGTTGTTGGTCGCTTTCAACAAAAACACACAGAGGGTCATAAAAGACAAGAAACCTTTTTGTAGTGCAGTGAAGCAGAGTTTTAAAAAGTGTCAAATGAGGTGACTGGTTACACTTCTCGTAGTGCTTTTCATAGTGAACTGTAGTTACTCACTTCCTGTTCCAGCCAACATTTTAAATAATCGTCATTTGACCATCACTGCTAGCTAACACATTTGGTTTTTTGGAGGAAAGTATAAAAGCAAGTCTGTGTAGGTTGCATCCATAACTCTGCATAGACAAATACCTACGCAAATGGCCAAAAATGCAGTACTATGAATTGTACTTCAGGCAGCAGCTACTGTGTTTTTACTCCACCAGCCTTGTCCAAATAATTTGCTTATAGAGATGTTATCACAGTTGAAGCTGATTCCAGGTTTATTAATATCAAGTATAAATGCAAATTGTTATGGATTAGATGGTTTTCTCTGGGCAAAGTATCCTGATCAGACATGAGATAAAATAAAGACTAGCAAACCACTGATTATGGTGAATTTATGGTTTCGCAGTTGTGCCTGTGCCTGGGTATTTACCTACATAAAACATACACATGCAACCTTACATGGACGTGCTAGTGGAAACCAATAGCGCAAAGCTTGATGTGGATAACAATGGCGATTGGTTGGAAACCATGAATGTTAAAAGTGCGAAAAACTTTGAAAATACAGTATGAGAAGCACAGATGTCAGCTCCAGTGAACAGTGCAGTACAAGAAAAATATTTGCCCTGAATTGATTTTTTTAAAAATATATTTGCCACATTTTCACATTTCATATCAAACAAACTTTAATATTAGACAAAGATAACCTGAGTAAAAAATAAAGTTTTTAAATGATGATTTAATTTGTTAAAGGGAAAAGCTGTCCAAACCAGCCTGGCTGTATGTGAAAAGTAATAACTGGTTGTGCCACCCTTGACAACAAGAACTGCAATCAAGCCTAACTGACAATGAGTCTTTTGCATCACTGTGGGGAAATGTTGGCCCACTCCTCTTTGCAGAATTGTTTTAATTCGGCCACATTGGGGGGGTCTTCCAGCGTGAACAGCCTGTTTAAGGTCACGCCAAAGCATCTCAATCTGAGTTAAGTCTGGACTTTGTCTTGGCCACTCCAAAACCTTCATTACGCTCTGAATAGGACCACCACAGAACCACGCTGTCCCCTCTAAATAAGTCCCGTCATTAAATCGGACACTCGTTGGCTTGTGGTTGAAGTCCTTTACCAATAAATTTGCCTCCCTTTCCAACTTTAACAAGAAGAACTTAAAATGCATTTACCATAGCCTGAAACTAATGATTAAGCATGTAAAAGTTGACCTCTTTCAAATTAGAGGTCTTTTTGCAACAAAAGGAGTCGCCCCCTGCCGGCCATTGCCAAGAAGACATGTTTTAAAACACTCTCATACTGGCTTCACTTTTCAGACTCCAGGAGTGATATCTATCATTTATACAGTCTAAATTGGGCATTTTGTTGCATGTCTTTCCATCATTTCCTGTCGTCTCTCTTAAGAGAGACGGCAGGAAATGATGTTTACTGAACTGTGCAGTAAACACATCCAACTCTGATTCAAATTTTTCAAAGAAGCCTAGACTACAGTAAACACATGTGTCATCCATCGTCTCAAAGCGCCGCCATTCTTCACCACAGTTCCCCAACAACCCCCAAACAACGGTTAAATAATCAAAGTAAAGTAACTGGATCAACTGCTGAATGCACACATCTGTCACCAGCGATCATCCTTTTAAACTGTAGCAACGCATGTGCTGTCAGAGCTCTGTGTGGAATGTGGGGGAAAAAAAAAAAAAAAAATCAAGGCAGAGATGAGCAAAGCACACCTTAGCTCTCTGAAGTGGCTTCCCTTCTCTAAACACTGATCTGATAAGATAGGAGCGAACCCCACTAGGAATTTGTTTTCACTGCCCTTTCACTGCAGAGCGGATGATAGCGAAGACATGTGGAGAACAGAGCCACTCCGGCCCTGTCTCGGGGCAAACTAAGAAAAGCAGGAGAATTCCACCTGAGAGGAGGAATCTAGAAGCCGGTTATTGGTTTTGCCCCCTGTCAGATTGACCCTGAGAAACAAAACACCTGCTTTTCTTATTTCTTTTTGGGGTTGGACTTGGCAACCACCGTCAGTTCTCGCTCATTTAAAAAGAGAGCAGGCTGTGGGTCACGGATGGGCACGGACGAAAAATTATGACTGCTTCGATTTCACTATTCAGTGACCAAACACGGATTCAATTAAACCCAGCTGAAGGTCATGAGGTAATACAATGTAACTGAGCTTAATGGAAGCGCTCATGGCTTTGGTAATACTTAAACCAATGGCCCTGTCTAGCTACCCCTCAGTGTCGGCCATTCATATAACCTGAGTGCTGTCATAACCTGAGTGGAGGAAGCTGGGGGTAAGAGTTTAAGGAATGTGCTTCACAGGTGCCAGATATGGAAAGATGCGAGTGTTATTGCTTACAGCAGTTTTGGCCACAGAGAAGAAATAACAGATAAGGATCTGAGGCAGGGAGGGGAGGGGAGGATGGGGGTGATACAGGTGAAGACGTGGTAAAGTATAGTGGGCGGGGAGTGGATACTATGGGAGAGGGAGAGAAGGAGAAGGGGGAGGGAGAGGGAAAAAGAAAAGATAAGGAGGGGAGCCGCAAAGGAATTTGTGAGAAACTGAAAGCAGCGGAGTGTGGCTGAGTGGAAAGGGAGGAGCACCGAGCAGACAGCAAGGTTACACACGAGGAGGAATTAAACAAAGCACAGACAGGGACAGAGGGGAAAGGACAGGCAGAGCTGTTGATAGTAGGTTTACATCTTACCTCAGCACTAATTACTACTTTTTCACTGCAGCAGAAAGAAAAGAAACAGAAATTAAGAAAGAGAGAGCGAGAGAGAAACAGCAAAGCAAAGGTGCAGCTGAGAAGAGGAAGAAAAGGAGGGAGTAGCGAGAAAAAAGTGAGAGACAGCAGTCCAGGAGATTAAATTGAGGAAGCGAAACAAGAAGGGAGAGACGAGGCTCTGAGGAGTGAGCGAGGGAGGGAAAGTAAGAAAACTGCAGACACTCATTGACAGAGAACACTGGACTTAACTCCACGGTTTACTGACATCAGCAAAAACAAAAGAAGAAGCGCGTCACCAAAAAAAAAAAAAAAGAGGTCACTGTGGTGGTGTGTTGCCTGCCTGAGTTTGTCTACTATGCAACCGAGTCAGCTGAGATAGACAGACTCAAGCACGATCCCACTGTTTACTTCCCCCCAAAAAAACTTCTCCCGGTATCAGCACCATGTTGATGAAAGAGTATCGCATATGCATGCCACTGACCGTGGATGAGGTAAGTGTGTTTGTCTTTCCCACGCTTTTACACACACAATTCCCACCACTTAAAAGTGAAAAGCAAAAATTTGGGAGTTATTTTAACTGCGGCAATGTTTTGTTTGGTCTTTTTTTATTATTGTTTACTTGTAATCGTGAAGGTGTGAACGTACTGATAAGACAAAATGCCAACACAGCACTGAGACCTCCCGCAGCTGCCCTGTGGGAGCTTTTTCCACATTGGGATAGAGCCATGAGTCAAGCGTACAACACCTGGACAGCACTACACGTTCTACATTTGCTTGAGCGCTCCAAGCTCAAACTAGTCAGACTGGTTAAGATCCCAACTTAAAAGGCATTTGGCCTGCAGGTGGAAAAACAAAGAGATCCCGCTGGAGAGGGAAAAGGTGAGCGGACGAGGTTGTTATGCGCTAAAGTGCCCTTCAAAAAGAAATGTCCTTGTCGTCTCCACTACCCCCAACCGGCTTACTTCTACCTGTTACCACAACAATGACAGTGACAAATAGCAGTCCAAAATAGGATTTACAGTATCAGGACAGGGCACACAGAACTCGAGCTTGCAGCAAATCCTCTTTCGCTTAAGTGTAATGTGAGTTTAACTGCAGTTTATTTGAGGAGGTATCAAATCATAATAGGAACCACGCAACAGACCGCAACCTTTGCTCAACTATTAAAGTGAGCAGATTTTCAAGTGTGACATGCGCAGCACACCCGCACCGTGGCGAAGAATGTTCTGTCTTGCTTTTGCCAAAGAAAAGAAACAGGCGGCAGCTGATAGTGGCTCAGGTGGTAGGCAGGTGTGTCGATTATGTTGTTGATTCACTTTCTATTTCTTCCACATGCTAAAAATAACTTGGAGCAATGGTTCTCAAACTCTTCTTAATTATATGTCCCCATTAAAATATTCAGCCAAATTAACCCAGACACTTGCTGTAGAACTGAAGGGATACACAGAGCACTGCACCATCTATATTTAGTTAATTAAAGAAATCAAATTGTAATCTAACCATTTGTTTCAGTCATTTTATTGTTAGATATTGCTTGAGACACAATGTATATTTTTTTTCTTCTATTTGTTGCTGGGATTGTTTCCAGTTTTTTTCTGATTTAGGCCAAAGCGATACGTATGAAGGCTTGTCCTATGTAAGACATTGTCTGATTATTACGTTACTGCCAGCGGTCACAGTCATGCTGACCTGTGTTTCTACTGTCTGATGAAAAGCAGATGGGCACGAAACGTCACACGCTACGAGATGTAATAAATAAGAAAATTGGAGTTCTGCAGTGTGCAAACTGTCACTCGCTTTTGTGGTTAAATAAATTACAAACTTGTATCTGAAAAAAAAACTTCATTTGAAAGTGAGGAACACGGGCTTTTGTGTCTCTGGTCTTGGTTATTCTCTTAGCAGGGAGGAAACTGCAGTGTTCAAACTTGTTAACGGCTCTCAGTCGCTACAGAAAAGAAGGCCTCACTCAAGCGTGCCCTTTGTCTGTGTTTTCAGCATTGCTGCTTTCAACCACAAATCTTGTTTCATGAAATGCTGGAAACAGGATTCACGCTCACAGCGATCATAATTTTGTTTGTTGCTATTTGGGTCTGTGAGGTTTTACAACCATTTAGGGGTGTATGAAAACTGATTGCCCCCCCCCCACTGGTTCTCCCTCACCAAAGCCCTTACACTAGGGTACTGTTAATCTTATGCTGCCTAGCACCACTGTTTGAGAGCGCAGACTAGATAAGGCTTCATGGTGGAAAGTAACTTTTTTTGCACATTTACTCAAATACTCCACTGAAGTACAGTATTGATGCACTTATAATACAAATAGTATCCTTATTTGGGAGACACCTCTCACAGAGGTGTGTATGAAAAAGGCAGTGTCACAGGAACATACAGTGCCCCATAAAAAATATTCAGACTTCTCAGAAAATTGTATGTTTATTGCTTTACAGCAATGAATCAATGTGACATTTTTAACTTTGAAGATAAAGATAAGATAAAAATCTTTTATGTGACATTTGTACACATACACTGGGTCCGGGTACATAGGAAATTGTGTGCAGAGCTGAGAGTCAGGGTCAAACAAATACAGACACATATGCAGTATAAACCAAAGTGTATGCTGAGGTAATGTGTTTGGGGGTTTTTTAAGAAAAAAAAAAATGTCAAGTAGTTTCTCAGATAATTTTTGTCTTAACTCCAAGAATTATGACCTTAATTCTTCATAGCGTAGATTCAGAAAAGCCTCAGAAAAACAGATTTGGGTCCATATCGACATGACAGCGTCACACAGTTCCTGCAGATTTGTCAGCTCACGTTCATGATGAGAATCTCCCCATCCAACACATGACAATGACTGTGAAGGTCATTTGTGTAGAGTGTCATATTCAAGAAACCACTGAGAGAGGATCTCAGTTCTGTGATATGTTGTTATGTTATTATCTGCCGCATGTGTTTTGAATTTTTGCTGCCATGGTGCCAGGTCTCTCTTGGAAATGAGATTTTTAATCTCAATGAGATTTGTACCTGGATAAATAAAGGGCTAATGCAATAGTATAGCACATTGTCCTGCTAGAAGCAGGCATTAGAAGATAGATAAACTGTGCTCATAAAGGGATCAGCAAGGTCGGGCACGCTGCCACATTAAAACAATGCTCAGTTGGTACAAAGGGGCTTATAGTATGCCAATATAGTGGTATTTTGAAACTAGCCTGTCAGCTTCAAGGTTCATGTTGTGCGTTCATATGCAGGAGAGATGCTCTTCACTGGGCCATTTCTTGTAAACCCTACAGATCACTATGGGGGAAAGTCCCAGTAGATCATCAGTTCAGGAAAACCCAACTGGCACCAACAACTGTGCAAGATTCAAAGTCACTTGCTTCACCTATTTTCCTCATTCTGATGTTCGTCTTGACAATTTCTACATTTCTAAATGCACTGAGTTGCTCTTATGTGATTGGCTGATTCGATATTTGTTTTAAGGACCAGTTAAACAGGTGTAATAAAGTGCATAAAGTGTAAATCCCACTGGGAAACGTTGAACTCAAATTTTCCACCCTTAACATTGTTGTCGTTGTGTTTTGATAGTTGACGATCAAAGACAAAAACTGCCTGTGTTTTCAGTGGTAAATATTTCAATCATGAATCATGGCATTGTCCTGATAATGCGTTGTATTTTTAGTCTGACAACATTTCTTGTAAAGCAAATCCTGGGCTGTAAAAACGAAACAGTAAGAGGAAACACATTCCAAGAGCTGACAACGATCCCTCCTGACCTGTATGTAGGGATTTAAGGAAAGAAAAATACTTTCCACTTCCTTGTTTTTCCTAAAACGGGGGGAAAAGATTCACAACCTGTGTGGGAGGAGCTCTCTGTCCTGCGGTCTGCTGGCTTTAAGATGGTGTTAAAGCACCCATCACTATGATTAATTAAGTCCCATGAATATCCAAGAAGTAAATATTGAATGTTGACGTTCCACAGTAATTGGAACAAGAAGGAGGAGTGTCACATGATGTCAGCAGAGCACAGTGAAGGATGGCAATCTGATGTCTGCCGTCCTCTTTCTCTCTTCCTCCCAATCTTTCTCTGTTTCTGCTTTTAATTAGAATAATGCTTTAGTGCCACAGCAATATAGGGCAACAAAATGAATTGCATTATGGTGGTCACAGCAGAACAGCGAAGCGCTTTATGCTACAATTTCTCAGCTTTTTCATAACTTTATAAACAAAAGTTTACCAAGTGATTTACAACTGCAGCAAACAGAAAAATGCAAATAGAAACAAGAATAGGGAGAAAAGAGATGAGAACGACCAGCAGCAGCAGCAGCAGCACTGCAAGAAATGAAAAGAATTATTGTGAGAGATTTTTTTTTTAAATTCACTGATTGTATCAGGCTTAGCTAAACGAGGAGATACTCCAGATGCCCAAAGGCCTTGTCCTCTTTAGACTAACTAACACAAAATACTCCCTCATCAGCGTGCACAAACTGGGGCTGCAGCAGAGAACAAAGTCCCTTCCCCTAATTTAGACACTAGGCAATCACTCTCACTAGCCAAATTAATTTTTTGATATCTGAAATGGAACTTTAGGGAAATCTTTATACACAGCAAGTGGCTAAGATTTGAAAAATGAAGAGCAAATACAAAGCCTGTGCCTAAGCAGCCCTGAGTAAGTGCCTGTCGAGACAAAACCGGACTCAGCAACCAGGGCTGAACCTGCTGCCAGGAGGATTTTCTGCCATCATTCTCATTACTTCCTCTTAGTGGCAGATGGGTATTACATTTTCTTCAATGGGACCTGCATTTTATTGATTTGTTATGGATGAATTTTTTTCTTATTTAAGTCCTCATACCCATTATTATGCTCCATGAGAAATTTGGTCTGCCCTCCTTCAGCTTAAATGTCAATTCCAGTCTTTAAAAGACTCCCAAAAAGTTCAGATTAAGAGTACAACTTTCCTGAAGAGCAACTACAGCTGCTCGGGCAACAGTTGGATAATGATACGCAGAGATGAGTGAAGAGTAAAATCGAATGTGCACTTTGCGATTTAGTTAAATGCAGCAGTAAAGATGCAGTTCCTTATTATGGTTCAAATGTATGTGTAGAATAAATGTTGAAGTAATTAAAATTCAAAAAAGCGACTAAAAATTGGAGATAAATGACAAGCAGTGGATTAAAATGTACTCCAGTACCAGACCGAGAGACGAGAGAGGCTACAGCTGCAAAACCTCTGAGAACTGACTCAAGCAGCAGTGCCTGTTATTTGGATATGGCTTTGAGTTCACGGCAAATTCATATTTATTTTGTTTGTTTGCAAAAAAAAGAAGCATAAATGTGTGAGTTATTTCAAAGGCTACATGTTTATGGTAGATGAACGTGAAGACCTGTGTGTTTAAACGAAGGATGACCACAATCAACAAACACTTGGTTAATTCAACTAAGGCCGCACCCTAAATGTGTCCCTTTGGATGGCATCTTGAGGATTAGCAGAAGGAGGACGAGGGAGATTTTTGCTTTGTGCTTACCATTTTCTCACCACGTTTCTCTCTCTCTCTCTCTTTTCTCTTCACGCCATCCCCGTCCTCTCCGCCATAAACCTCATCCTAAACCTCTCCTCGGGCTCCAGTACAGGATTGGGCAGTTGTACATGATCAGTAAGCACAGCTGTGAGCAGAGTGGTGGGGGAGAGGGGGTGGAGGTGGTGAGGAATGAGCCAGATAATCACCCCAAGTATGGAGCGGGACAGCTGACCGAGAAACGAATCTACCTCAGCAGGTACAATTAAACTCTTTGATTGTGTTGTTGCACTAATGATGTACACATGACGGGCCATTAGAATAACTGATTGCCGTGTTCTGATCGCTGCGCTGTAAAGCTTCACATCTCAGCGATCCAAGTTACTTGAAACACACAGTAACACCCAGCATGCATTGCGACCTGCCTGTTTACAAAGTCCAAACACCCTTTGTCTAGACATGCTGAGGTATAAGTGGAAATATTACTGTACCGTGAGGTCAGTAAACACTGGATTACGTAAGTAAAGTTCTCTAGCTGGGCATAACTCGTCCACATCATCCCGGTGCTGGTAATTGCAGGGTATGTGGGAAGATTTAGCCTCTCATTAAATTTTCTTTGTAGAGTTGACAAAGTTTGTTGGCAATCAGAGTCTAGTCACAGTATAACCACACATAGAAAAAGTACAGATAATTACCTCCAAGTTCTTACACTCAAATAATGGATGTGTTTAACCCCTGGTAAGCTTTTCTAAGTGGTCTATCAGAACTCTGTTATTGTAAGAAAGAAGTGACAATATTTACATAAGACAAATATTATTTACACGTAGGGGGAAAAAAGATAAAAACAGGAAAGAAAATTACAGAGTAAAGCAAAAGCCATTAATAGCTATTGTGACTGCAGGTGTTAATATGTAACTTGTCTATATGCATATTTTTACAGGACATAGATGCTACGAATGTTTATAGAGTGTAGTCTTGAGTACATAAAAGAACATTTTAAACCTTTTTTTGAAGTATTTATGTTACATTTTGGGAAATAAACTCTTAATTATTATATGATACAGTGTTTAGCTCAAACATAAAGTCACGTCAGTTGACTGTTATGCAAGTTCTTTGTTTTTTTTTTAACTTTGGACTGCAAAACCTCCAATAAAAACTAAATCTACTGTTTTTATACAACAGTGTTGATTCAGCAAGCCAGACAGTGAGTTAATTAGCGCTGGTAGGTGAAGTTTATTGCCTGTGGATGGAATGAGACTTACTGTTTCCACCATATCCAGTCTTTTACTTCTCTCTGATCTTTTTAGGTGGGTGTCACTTCATGTTTTATACACATACTGAGAGTGTTTTTCTTATCATACAACTCTTCACCACAAAAGAACTGATGATTGGTCAGGCTAAAGCCAGAGGAAACTCCACCGGAGGCCTGCAGTGGTCTTCACATGCAAATCTGTCATCTAACAGGATATATGGGGAAAAGACTAATTGAACCACCAAGCACCTGGCTCCCAGTGATGATTCCCCCAGAATAGTTGGCATTCAAGCTTTGCATTTTTATCTGGTAAAGCGAATGATAAGGGGTCGTCAGCTCAAAATTATATAAACATATTCTCAAACTTTAAATGGGTAAAATGCCCGGCCTATTGGCTTGGATCTGGGCATGTACGCTGCCAGCATCCCATTTTTGGTAAGCAGAACTGACATTTCCCAAAATGTCAAGCTAGTGCTACAATGTATTTGTGACAACTCTCATACAATAATTTATTAGCATGGTATTGCCCTGTTTTTTTCCTCCACTTAAAACTATACAGACATCCCAGGGTGTCACATGCTGCATTTTATCCAAAGCTACTGGCATTGCAGTGCCCACTGGCATCGGTGCTTTCAAGTACTGGCCAAGGAAACACTGGGATATAATTCACAGTCATGTTTGAAAAATAAGAAGGTCGGTTAGTAAGTTTATCAGCCAGGAGAATCTGCTCATTTTATTTGGCATTTTAATTTTAGATTAATTTTAATTTAATAAATCTGCGCATTACAATACGGCAAATAACTAATAAATTACCAAAAAAACTGCAAAGTTGTTGGCATCTGCTGCTATCTACATACGCAGAAAATCCAGTCGAACAGAAACTAATATTAAGTACGTAGATTAAATAGTTCATCTAAGATTACGGTAAATAGTTCATCTAAGTACTTAATATTGCACAACTCTGGGGTTGTGAAACAGAGATTCAGAAATTCCTCCCTAAAAGTGACGTTGCTGCAGGACATTCAGTCGGCAGTCACTTGAGTCAAGTCCCTTACGGCAACAAAATTTGTCCCAGATCACTCATCAGCGCAGACTTACTCTAACTGATTGCAACATGTCGGTAACATGTCTGCATTTAGAGCTCAACTATAAACTCAACTGCAACTATTTGCAAACTTAATCCGATTTGTCTAGACTGCAGGCAATCTGAGTTGGACTGCAGTTGGTTGGAGACAAGCTGCCTCCAATCAAAGTGTTCACTGCAGCTATTTGCAATTGGTCACCAAATCAAAGGGCAACCGATTTGTTTCTAGTCACACTGAGGTTTTGTCCTTTTGCTCTAGATAGGCTGAGCCATGAGACTGCAATTTCAGTTGCAATATACCCAGAATAATAGCACATTAATATTAACACTATATTCTGAAAATACAGTTAACCAGTGTGCTTCACTGTGAAACCAAGCGGTCCCATAAATGATGAGTCAAAGGTGAAATTGTTGCTCGGTTTACAAAACGGAGTATTTCACACCCTGTGAGTGATAAGAGTTATAAACCAGCCACAGGCTGCACACTGATTATAAACCTTAAATAGGAGTTGATTTTTCCTACATGATTAAGTGTGTTTGCACTGCTACAAGTAAAAAGGTTTAATAATGCTGCTCTGTGTGTGAGAGAGTATTGTGTCCATGTACTTTTCTCTGTGCTCAGGCTGACAGCCCATCAGTTAATTGTGCTCATAATGAAAGCGCAGTCGCAAATATAACATAAATCTCTTAACTCTAAATTCACTTCCTAACCCTGAAATAACCTCACTCATTACCCTCATGTAACCTCAGCTCTTATTCCAATCACCACTACAAACCCAAGGCCTAATCCTAAAATAAACTCTCAAAGAAGTAAAGACATGTTCACACTGTGGAGGATTTTTCTAATCTTTATGTGCTTGTGGGACATTTGGTCCTCATTAGTAAAGATATGTAAGAACACACGCATGCTCTTTCTCTCTTCTCACAGACACACACACACACACACACACACACACACACACACACACACACAGTATTCTACTTCAATCATGTTCTGACATGGGACCTAGGAGCTACAGTAACAGTTCATCACCACAGGTGTAATTGAGAATGAGTCATACAAATGAATGCTGTGGTGAGAGTAGCCTACAGGTAATCTGGCTATAAACGGCACAAGACCCACTCAGGATCTCTCCATCTCTCCCTTCATAATCTCTCCTGCGCTTACACTCTGCAACGGTGATCCTTCTTTCTTTGCTTTCAGTAAACTGCCATCTTGGGTAAAAGCATTTGTCCCTCGATTTTTCTACATTACGGAGAAGGCCTGGAACTTCTACCCATACACCATCACAGGTGCGTGTTTGCCTTTCTTTGTGTTAAACACAGAGTTATTTTAACCTCGATACATTATACAAAGCTTGTTTACTGAAAACAGATGCTTTTTCAAGTGACATCAAATATTCATAACTATGTATGCATGTATTCCCTTGTGGTAAATTGCATGTGTGTGGGCGCAATTTCATGTTCAAGCATACGAGTTACTTATGCTGTTTTCTCCCCATCTATATTGAATGTCCCCGGTGCTGCAGAGTACTCAGTAAGTATTCTCACACATCATTTACTGTACATGAATGCAACAGAGCTCATCTCTTTCCAGTATCAGAGGATCTAATCTGCAGCCTGCTTTCACACTATCTCTGCCCCTCAACCCTCCACCCCCCATTTTTCCTCTTTGTCACCCTGTAGGTATCATTCCTCCCCAAGTTCAGCATCCGTATTGAGACAAGATTCGAGAACAACAACGGCGATAACGATAACGTGAGTATCGTAAGAGGGGGGGTTGTGAGAGGTGAGAAAAATAGAGTGATTAGAGACGAGGGGGAGGAGAACGACAAGGGTCTGGAGAGAAATTGCAATTTTCTCTGCAGCACTACAAAAATGTTCATCAAATTGATGCGCCCATTACAAGGAAAACAAGCAAGGCACGAAATGCAGTATTGGCAGATCTATTAACCAGACATGCAGTGTGCTGATCATGGCTGCCACGATGCATTTTGTCCAAGGCACGCAAAGACACACACAGACAGAAAGTCGCCAGCAATTGCAGCTCTGTCTGGCACTTGTGTTTGCCTGGTGTAATTGAGAAAAGTTAAGACAGGAGAACCAAAAAAAACAAAACAAAAAATGCATAGATCCAAGAGTTGTTTCTTGGGTTGTGCATCCAGTAAATCTAGTTTTATGTCATGTAATTTCAGGTTACACGAGTTTACACCAAACAGTCCCATTGCTGTTTGAGTGGCAGCCACATACATGCACACTGACATGTGTTTTATACACTTGGGGGAACAAATTGAGATGTCTTAATCTTTTAAGTTGGTAATTTGTTACCACAGCTGTTTATTTACACATCAAAGATTACAGAGCAACACTATCAGCCAATTAGTCGTGTCGCTGCATGGCTAACTGGTGTATGTGATCAAATAATCACTCAGTTTTGCTCAGTTTTTGGTCTCTACCACCTTCTCACTGAAATATTTCCCCTTTTTTAACCACTACAGACAGCATAAGAGACGGATGTTGCTACCCCGACATCACCCACCGTTTTCTGGTGTCTCACTTTGAAGCCTCAACATGAGCGTTTCCACTGTTGCCATCTTGCAACAGATGTGACGTGGAGGGACGGGGTCTGCCTGTTAAACCACCTGCTCCTTTTTTTAATATAATGTGAGCCAAAATGAGAGGCCGAACCCTTGAATTCAGCAGAAAAGTGTTTAGAGAAGCTGTCTTCGTATTGACTTCTAAAAGGACTGGAAGTCCTTTTTTAAAACCACAGCTATCATCATCTAGTGGCCTTCAGATAGGACGCACGGTTGAGACACTTAAAGTGTTGGCTTAATTTTTCCGACCTTGAAGCTACGTCCATGTTTTATGCTGTTTATGGTAGTATAAAGTATAAGTATTTACATTATTTTAGCATCTTCCTTTCATAGTGCTTCATCTAGTTACTCTGGGATTAATCCATTACATGTGGAGCAACTCTTAGATATGTTGTCTAGAAGGAAATGTGAACAGACGAATGCCACCCTAAACCACTGATTCTGAAAGTTTGTCTAGCATGCCCAGCTTCAGAAACAAAAATACGTTTATTTATTTTAAATTCTATTTATTTAAGTCAGCTTCTCTCCATATTTTTCCTCGTCCTCTACGCCACTATTGCAAACTCGGCCCTACAGTTTGAGAACTACTGACCTGACCTAACTGTTGTAACAGTAAACATACAAACTCAGTACGGCACTCAGTGCACAAGCCTGAACTCGTTTGTATTCTCACACAGCCTCTGAATAACACAAAAACAATTACCATTTAATTTAGTATCATTTCTTAATATCATTAGTCAGATAACTTTAACTACACATCACGTAGTCTAAATACCCACAGCCTGATTAAAAGAACTGAATGAAAGGAACTATTTATGCGAGCATTAAATTTATTCCAGTTCAAATTCATTTACTGAGCAGATTTTATCCTAGAAATAATTTGACACTTTCTCTTTCTGCCACTCTTTCTAACTGCAAAGTACAGATACTCTCCCAGTAGCGAGTAAGACAGATGGCCAGGCTGCATATTGAAAACAGCTTGTGTGTTTGGTCATATTTGTTGAGCCCCATTTGAAAGGCTGCATTTGAAATGATCTGCTGCTTTGGGGAAAAAAGCAACTCCTTTTACGCCTGCTACACTTGTCTAGCGTTACCAAGGTGTTGAAGACACTTAGATTTAAGTGAACCTAACACTATCAACATGTGCACGCATGCAGGGAGGGCAGGAATGAGAATGGAAAGAAAGGATGCTGAGTGAGGAGGCGGGATCGTGGGGTGGCATTACTTTCTTATTTCTTGACTGAGTAGTTCCATGGCCGCAGCTGGAAGGAACGCCAGGCTGCAGCACCCGGAAAATGAGCTTGCTGGACTTTATTATGTATGAAACTGCCAATCAGACTTATTTACTTATTTACTCCAGATCGTTCCCGCTCACTTTAACCCCTGTGTTAGTGTACTTCCACATTTCCAAGGGAAATATCATACTTTTTACTCAGCTGCACTTATTCACCCGCCTAAGTGTATGCTTTACAAATCAGGCTTTACATACAAAGCATGCGGAGAGATTATAAAATACGATCCTTTTACAAAGCAGTGCATACAATTTGAGCTAACAAAATACCAATTTGGACCGCATCCATTCATTTTCTGGAGTTTGGAGCCTATTCCAGATGACAGTGAGCAAGAGGCGGGGTCCACCCTGGACAGGCTGCCAATCAATCACAAGGAAAGAAGGAGACAACACCTTGGCTAACAGCCACACCTGATTTAGCCTAACATGCCACCTAAAGACCACCTAAAGAAAATACACAGAGGCACAAGTAGTACACAGAAGGACCTCCAACCAGGAGTTTTGGAGCCAGAACCTTTTTGCTGTGAACTATCAAAGCTGAACACTTATTTTTTTCCCCTCGTTTTTAAAAAAAATCCCCCATAGTTTAAGCTTTCAGGGCCTCATATATATGAATAGATTTTTTCTTGCATGTCCTTAGAACAGTTATGGTGTTTATACAATTCAATTGACAATCGTTACGACACCGTGAGAAAACCCCAAGCAACTTGTAGAAGGCAACACAAACACGCAGTTAACACAACACATTCCATGAAAGGGAGCAAGACCTTGTGAAGACAGACTAACAACAACACCGCAGGAGCATAGCGGGCTATTATTTTACCCCAGGTTTTTCTTATTTGTTAGTTTTCAGCTGTGAAATGAACAACTCCAGTGCGGCATTAGAGCAAATTTTAAACAAGATCAGATAAAAGTGCAGTCTTGTCTCTTTCTCCCTCTCTCTCCAGGTTTCTTCCATTCTCTCAAGGAAAAGTGTACGTGGCTCTCATAACTTTTCCCCCCCTCTCTTTTAATACCCCTCATATGTCCTTGTTTTTTTCCCCTCATCCCCCGCCTCTGCTCTCTATCTGTTCTCTCCTCTGTTTGCGCCAGTGTGATTTGCTCCAAGGGCCTGCGGGTGGGATATAGTGAGGGGTGTTATGGTGTGTGACCTCCGTTTTCTACACTGTTACTCATCTTCTCTTAGTCCCGCTCTATGCCGAGTGAGTGACTGTACGTGTGTGACACTACGGGTGGGTGTATGTGCGTCTGCTGTCATTTAACTGTGTGACCTCCCCCATCTGTTTGGATGTAGGTGTTTGGGGACAAGCCAACCCCAGCAGAGAATGTGTGTTTCCTGGACATTCTGAGTGACCCCATCCCTGAAAAGCACTACAAAGAATCAGAGGTACTCACTGCACTGGCAAAAAACCCACAAACATGGACATATGCTTCACAGAGGTGCAAACAAATGACTGTGAACAAAAAAAAAAGTTGTTTTTTCTGATTTTCTTTCTCTTCCAAATGGAAAACTATGTGATTGCTTTCCAAGAATAGTTCAGCATTTTGTGAAAAAATAAATAGGAGACTTGGTTTAATGACAAGTAGCCAAAACTGTAAGCTTACTTAATTCAAACATATACCCACTAACTTTGCTTTGGATTTTGGCTGCTTTTTCCCTAATTCTCAGTCCAGTCCTTGTACATGACCATTTTCAGAGGTATTTTTTTCTCTTCAACCATTTAACACTGAACTATGAATCATTCAAGCATAAAAAAGGTACCAACCTCGAGGAATGAATCAGTGTTGTGTCTACACATAATAGACAATTTAGCAAAGAACCGGTTTTAAATTGCATCTTTAGGCACTAGCAGTCTGTCAATTTGGTCACATTTCTTTAGTTGAATCCATGAAAAATACCAAAGACATCACAAAGGCATCAAAACTGATGGAACTGTGAACGATGATAAGTCCCATCAGATCTTAATCCACTGTGTAGTACCATCCATAATGTGTCTGACTCACAACAGCTTCAGTGAACTCAAACACACTGCAAATGCAGTTGAAGCATACCTGAATTAAAAAAAAAACAACAACAATTAAACACTAGTGTTCATCGATTGGCCTCCTGCCCGGACCTCAAAATTACTGAAGAAGCGTGGGATCATCTTGACAGAAAACAGAACAAGAAGCAGGTCGATCCTGTATTTCCATTTATGTTTGCCCTTCTCAATAAATATGAATTACATCATTTTTAATTAATGGCAAGCATGCAACTACCTGAAAAACTCCACCCAAAAATCATATTAGTTTGCGTGGAGGAATCAACATATATGGGCATTTCTACTCTCAAAGCCAAGAAACTTTACGCAAAGAGGCAAAACAATTTAGTGACTGAAGTTTGAGTCTCAGGTGGGGAGAATTTTTCACATGTTGCAACAAAGAAACTTGATAACAGTGATAGAAAAGATCAATCCTTTGAAGCAGCACTAAAGAGGTGATATGAAACTATGTGCTAAGACATGCCTTATCTAAAAAAATGCATTCTGCATGCATTTCTTCTTATGATGGCTATAGGTTGATCCATTTAAACCCACAGCTATAGGTCAGAACAACAGCTCATACAAATGATCTATATGCTTGTTTCCTGCTGTGGAACAGTCTAAAATTGTCTCTAACTTGATGTGTCATTTTATTATCTGCATTTTGCATTGATCAGATTGTTGATTACTTAAACTAGTGGGGCTTTGTTGTTGTTTTGGTTTTCCTGTGCTGATTTTCCCACTTCCTGACTTTATATTAAGCTAAGACTACTCAAACAGACATTTAAGTCACATCCAACTCAAAATATTGTCCTTTAAGTGATAATGGCTCATAATGCATAGTGCTTAATATACAAACAATGATCCACTAAGACAAAAACACATACCTGTTTTTTGTTTTTTTTTTTACTTTACTGCCTTTTGTTTCTGCTTCTAAATAAATCAGTTACACACACCCCACACAAACACCTCTGCATCACTGCTTATTTTCATTGTCTCCCCTCCAAGGTTTAACACGTCTTTACATGTGCATGTTGCACAAGGACACCAATCAATTATATCAAGTGACAAGGTGAAATAAAAGATCACAAACACAAACACTTGCCCATCATACTTTCATCAGATTCATAATGTGTGTTATCACACTCCTCTTGTGCGATGTGTTGTGCAACATGCTGCTGGCACCTCCACACACAGATATTGTCAAAGTTTCTGCAGACACAGCTTTTATAACACACTGTTTACTCTGTACAGGACCTGAGTCTGTGGCAGTCAAGTAAAACTGGACGAGGACCTCTGGAGAAGGGCTGGAGGGACAGCCACAAACCTGTCATGTGCTCCTATAAGAGGGTGGAGTGCAGCTTTGAGGTCTACGGCTTCCAGACCAGGACAGAGGAGTTCATACATCGAGTAAGATCGGACTCTTTCCCTTTATGTTCATTCCATTGCTATTGTAACGTGACTGCGTCAAGGAGACATCACAATCTTCTTCAATGTCATTCGGTCATTTATTATATGAATGTGCCATGTGTTGCATTGTGACACAAATAAATCACTACCACATTAATTTTAAGACATTAGCATAATTACTAGCATTAACGGCAAGAAGGCTGCTCGCGTCAAATGACCTCTGATCTGTATTATATTATACAAAACGGTAAGAAAACATCTGTTTTTCCACTTTTAAGAAAGCATAGTTGGAAGTTAGCGGAAGACGTTGTACAGCTGGTGGGAAGAAAAAAAAACCCTTTCACAACATTTATCCTCTGCAATGAGGCAAAGCAATGAAGCGTGAAAAGAAAACAGAAGCACCAGCAGCTAAACTAGCAATAATGCCTTTTAACCCACCCCAACGCTGTCAGTGAGGAGCAAGAGTGTTTGGATTGTGGCTCTATTTTTTTTTACAAAGCCAAGCAAAACAGATGAAACTAATAGTAAATGCACTGCACTCATAGTCTTTTAACCTTATGCTACAGTCACACTATGCAGAATAGCATTACCAAACAAAAATTAATTGTCTACATACACAGAAATTCCCAATAACATACATTAACATTAACTACTTACATCAAGAGCAAAAGCCTCATAGATTTTGGGACAGAAAAAACTCCTCCAAAAACGGTCGCAAACTTGCTGCGATGACAGTGATTTAAGATCAAAATGACATGGGTGCTCTGCAACCTCGCTTTTATGTAGCAATGTAACCACAATTGAGTCCCCTGGCGCAAAGAAATGTATCACAGAGGAGGTGCACTTATTGCAGAGGACTAAGTTAGGTTGATTGCAACGAGGTTGGCAATCCATCTGTGTTCATTCCTTTGGAAACCGTCACGATTAGAGAGGTCGCAGTTGCTCTGATTCGGGCTGCGATTGTTTGGAAACAAGATCCTGAGCAATCACCTGAGCGATTAAAAGTGGCTGCAAGCAGCTACTTCTAGCATTTGGTCACCCAAGGGTTGCAGAGGTTGGTCGCTGCAACTACTTGCAAACTGTTGATGAATGCAAAAAAATTCAATACAATCAAAGAGCAACTAATATTTAAATGAGTCCTTAGCTAGGCATGATGGACCACTTTTATTCACACACAACAATGCCAGGGGATCTGCTGTGGAAGATGGCCAGCCACTGGAAGCGACTTAAGGTTCAGTGTCGTGCCCAAGGACACTTTGGCACATAAAAGGTCCAGCAACTGAGCCAGCAACCACGATTGAGCAACAACCTCTACAACCAGAGCCACATCCACCCGCCCCAGCCTCCTTATTAAATAAATCCTCATTTATCTCAGCCGTAATCTCATATGTTTGAATTAATTACACAAAGGCACTGTCGTGATTTTGACACTGATCTGCTGTAAAATCATTCTAAAAGCAGCATTTCACACACGACTACACACAACAGCTGTAGCTTTTTAATTACATTTCCTTCCCATAACA